AATTTTAGTTAAGCAGTTTGCAAAATGATTCTAGAAAGACTGTAATGTCACATACTGTACTCCCAGTAAATTTTGTGAGTTTTAATTTGGCGAATTTTGAGAAAACACGATTTCGCGGCGAAGTGCACCTACTACTTTGTCGTCTTAGTCAACGACACGCTGCACCTAAACCTCTATAACATCGTAATTTTTGGGTTTATTTGATCAAATAAGCCACTGTAACAGACATTGTTACTTAGTACCCCATTTATCGCCTAATAACACTTGACAAACATTTTACAAAACACGAAATGCAATGAAGTCCCAGGTAATAAAAATTTCACAAATCAACAGGGATTTAATTGACAGTTTCGCGAAGATTAATTTTCGCGATTTTACCAAAAGCGCGAAACTAAATCGCACACGAAAAATACCGGGAGTACAGTAACACATACAGATTTACACTAATAATTAAATAACTAGAAAACAGCAACTCCATGAGTAGAAAATCCCATTGAACAAAAAATGTTTTGATAAATATATACTGGCGATTACTAGAGTGCTGCTAACTCGATAAAAGGCTGGCGCTGGCTAGAATTGTCTATGGTTCTAGCCAGGATAAAGATACCAGTTCTTCAACTCGACAATGGGAAGAACTGCTCTACCTTAGTGACTAATATGTCATGATATGACATCTAAAGAGTCAATAAAAGATATATACGAGGGGTGATCCAAAAGTCTTGGACGCCCTGCTCTAATTTTGTTGGTTTTTGATAAAATTACTTTAAACTTTCCAATAATAAAGACCAACAACCAAACTACTTTGTGTGTTAATTTCATGGAGAAATTATATATTTGGTGTAGTTTTCTAGATAGTTTTTAATGTAGGGACCCTGCCACCCGGAACGGTATACGCACATGACAACTTTCAGCCTTAAATGTTCCCGCCATTTCACTTGTTTCACAAGTCTTTACCACTATCTTTCTTTGAATTTTGAATGTTAAACCATGTTAGTTTACTTCCTTTGTTATTAGGCAATCAATTAATTGTGTTTTGAATATCATGGCATATATGACAATGGCTGTATATGTCAAATTCTAAGAAAATGACATCAGACAAGCAATCCTCATTCTGGTATCATTTTTGCTCCAAGATGGCTGCTGAAATGGAGAACATGAAAGAAATCAAAGTGGAACAAAGTATACTACAAGATATTCTCACTTTTATTGACCTTGAGCAGCTACCATATGCACGATATAGTCTAGATATGGCTCTGTGCGATTTTCTTCCATTTCTGAAGTTGAAAGAAGGGTTGGAAGAAAATGTTTTTTACTCATTGGATGAGGTTTAGAGTGGCACTCCAGCAGCATTTGTATCACATCAGCAATGGCGGTTTCATAAATGTCTTTCATTCATTGGTAAAGCGGTATGAAAAATGAAAATATGTTGAAAAGTAGGTCTTAATACGTGAAAATGATGATGGTAGATGACACTCAGATTGAAAATCGGAAATTCTCTCATATCATGAATGGTGTTAGGTTATGCACCTGCACCTAAAGTATTTGCCATATTATAACAGTTGTGACGTGATTTACAGGTACTATATTCAAATACCGTTCCGGGTGGCTGCGACCCGGTATTAAAAACTATTTAGAAAAGTAGCTAAAATATATTATTTTCTGTTGAAACTTATACACAAAGTTGTTAAGATGTTGATCTTTATTATCTGAAAGTTTCATGTAATTATATTAGAAAATAGCAAAGTTAGAGCGTGGCGTCCAAGACTTTTGGATCACCCCTCGTATATATAAATAGTGGCCATCTTGAAAATTTCCTCTCATATTTTTATAATAATGATATGGATTGTTACTTCCACCGTATTTAGTATAAGTACTCTATCATCACCCATTTGATTTCTTTCAAAATTCAATCCTTTTATGTGATGTATTCGTAAATACTTGAGAACTTTGTAAAACGAGATAGGCACTATATATGGCAATTATGGTAACAATTTTTCCTTTTTCATTTAACCTTGAACTTTACGAATACAATATCTTTTAAGAATCACCAGAGAGGGTAATTTATACAAAAGTCAGTAGAGTATGTACAGAGAAAGGTTATCTACAAGAGACAGGTGTTCACTAGAGAGACTACTATGATAAGTATCAAATAAGACTTCTACATAATTATATGGGCATACTATAATGCGAGTCTTCTAACCAGTTCACCAGAATTAAAATACGATAGAAAGCATCAATCATGCAGTCCATAATACAGCCATAATAGATGCAATATCTACAATGTAGTTTATCAATATACTGATTGCTAACATTGGATCGTCATCTGAACATAACACATTGGCCCTAACTCATTGAGGCCCATCTCAAACCTCCCAGACCTTTCCAAATAATCAATACATATTACACAGTAACTTTGCACAGAATTTTGATTTTATATTTTCTAAAGGCAACGTTGCCTTCAACATAATGATCAACTTGAGTTTAATCTTTTTTCCTCACATTTTCAAATGAGCTGTGACTGTGAAATGAGCTTGAAAAAGACCGTGTTTTTGATCACAGTTAATATTATTTTAAACAGCCCAGATCAGAAATCGCCACAAAATATGGAGGTTCTACAAACATTGTCATTTAACCTTATCAACAACAGACCAAGGGGAACACATAGGCCAGAGGGATCACATCTGCGATTGAGAAAACTAACAGATTATAATCTTCCATCTGCTATTATAAACACCAATGAACAATTGCATTCATTGCTGTCTCTGGCATGATGATATGGTATAACCAAAGAGAACATCTCATATGGGTCATTTTTTAAAATATAAAATGTGCCGAAAAATAATGAAATCAGCAGAAAATAAAGTATACAGACATGAACGTCAATACTTATAATAGATATCAATGCAAAAAACTGGATGTTTTAGTCAAATTTCTGTGAGAAATCGTGAGAAAAAGTATGACAACTCCAGACATTTTCTGCACAGGTTAGTATGTGGATTAGAAATGTCATGAGAATTATAGATACAGATGTCAAAACTGTACGTTCATATAATAGCATTATTGGGTGTCCTGGAGAATCAACAGTGCTAATTGGTTAATAGGCGGATTATATAGGTACATTTGATTATCTCTGTGAGCACATAACTTGGTTTCATTTGCAACGACATGAACCCAACCACGTTAGCTTTAGTCAGCACAATCCAGAAAAAATATGCAAAATGAAATCTATAAAGGAGAATTTCAAATTAAAATCTGAAAAACATCCCCTTTTTAGATTAAATAATTAACAGATGAATTGTGAAAAGTCAGTTGATGCAATAAATGATGATCTGATAACATCTGGGTCAAATATACAGTATAATGATTACAGAGTGTGGTCTGGGGTTGTCGATTGCATGTGGTCTTTTGCTAGTGGTGGGACTTGTAGCAAAAAAATTCAATCAAATTGACTACAATTGGCAACATTTTGATTCGATTGACTCGAGTCCACGACTCACTTGTTATACCACTAGTCTTTTCAGTGTGAGTTACTGGATTAGGACTCAGATTATATCAGGAGCCTGTTACTTCATTACTTATTTAAATTTATATGCTATGATCTATCTTATCAGCCCTGAAAACTCACAACTGAAATATATCCTATCTCTGGTTTCATGACACTTTCATTGATTGATTTTCCCATATATGGACAATGGAAGACATTGTATACAAAATCTATATTGTTTTGTTTTTTTCTCAAAATACTTAAATCATTTACAAGATAATGATCTACAAATAGATAAATATCCCAATGGTCATATTAAATAGCGTGAAATACAGAGGACAGGCTACATATAGTCTAATTCATTTTAAAGTGTCTGGAGATTTGGAGGTTATTTCTGTGCATATTTTTTGCAGAGCACATCCAAGTAACATCTCATCTACCTTATTTGCCAGTAAATCAGGTGTAAATATTTCATTGCTTTGTTGAAATCTAACCAAGATAAATTAATCCTAGGCATAACACATAGACAGGCAGATCTAAAGTGAAACCCTTTATGTTATGAACATTAAAGTCCCCATGTAAAGTTTGAAAATATATTTTGTCATTCATTTTCTATTTGTCAAGACTTAAAGTTATTACATGAATAAAGATTTTTGAAAAAAATTTTGAACAGCTTTTCATTTCTCAAATATTCAAAAGTTGAAATGATTTAATCATCAAATATTCCACTGTACAGTGCAAAAACATCTTTTTAACACAAATGCAAATATCGAACACACTATTTCAATGCTACAATAAATGATTAGTGGTAGTCTTGCTTCAAGACCCTGGGCCCCCTTCCCCATATACTTTACTCCAATGTGTTGTGTTGGAGAAGTAGATAAGGGGGGGGGGGTCCACAGTCTTGAAGCAAGACTAGATTTAAGTGGTTATAACTTTATATGGGGGCTTAACAATTTGAAGCAGCATATGAATAATGAATAGAAATAAAAATGGATATGTTGTATTACATAGATATTTTACAATTAAGATATCCTGAGATATGAAACTGCGATGAAAAGCGTATCAAGTATTGTATCATATGAGGCCTTTAATTTAAGCATGGAACAATGCATCCTGAGTATTGGGATTTGAATTAATTTGAGTTTTGAGCGACAGTTTAATTTGGTTATTGCATACTCTCTGAATATGAGTTCTCAGTATTTGCTCATATGTGAGTATAGCACATTCTCTCAAATTAAGACTGAAGCAATTTTTTGATTTTAGTATTGGGCATTTAGTTATGGCAGATAATAATTTCTAATTTGTTTGGCATCTTATATGTATGACATACAAATAAGTTTAGCATAAAAAATCTTTACAAATCACTTACAATTAGAAGATATATTAACATCACTATTCTCTATTTATAGATTGACACAATTTTTTTTTGTAAATATGATCTCATTTTTTAAATGCTCCCTATTATGCTTATTGAATTATAATCAAACACAGACAATATTTTCTTTTAACTAACCTTGTTGGTTTTTGGATTGATTTTCCCACCGCATCTGGCACATGATCGTTGGCTACAGTAATGGCACTTGTGACCCACTCCATCTGCGAACTTTGTTTTGTGACATATTTCACAGACAGCGCCGAGGTTCGAGCCAAACTGTGATAGATCTTCGGCATTCTTTTTGATGTTCTCCTGAAACTTGTTGAAGTCATCTTGAAGAGACCTAGAGTTGAAAAGAATGTCTAAATTAGTGATTTTCATCTTTACCTGTCCTTAGTTTTCAATAACACTGTTTTGACACAAAAAAATTAGGCAAAATCTTGGAACTGGGAAGGGGAAAATATTTTATTTTACATTTTCTGGGACGAAGATATTCTCTTGCTACATCAGGATGCCCAAGGATGTTCAAAACTATAAACAAGGCATAAACATGCAAAATGTCACCACCTGCCATTTGATACAGATGCTGACTGCTGTTACAAATGATGCTACAGCTGCTGAACACCAACTGCCAAACACACAAAAAGTTAGAGACCATAGCAATATGTCACCACTTGTGAAAGTTACATAAAAAGAGGAAATACAACAAATTTTTGTTTGTGGATAGGTACTGCCATCTTGGAGCCCACAAGAAGAGATTTCACGAGAAAGTGATTCTCTAAAATTTACTCAAACTTTCTTCAGTGGGCTAAGCAGAAATAATTATTTGATCGAATCTCTACCAGTGTGTTCAATCAAGCGCTGTAGTGAGATCATTACAGGACACTATATCCAAGGACATGAAAGACTCTTAGTCTTAGGATCATTAAGATCGAATAAATCTTGAAATTGTAAAATATTTGTAAAAACAGGATAATATTACCAGATAAAAGGGTTACAGGGTATGGTATAATGTAAATCCATAGTGAGCAACGCATTGACATGACTGACATGCTATGCATGAGTGAATCAAGGTGGAAGTTCTATATTGCTCTATCATAATACATAGCACTAAATGAATTATATATGTAGTGTTTTTTTTTTCAGAAAAATACAGGCTGACAGCACTAAGTATAACATTTGTCGTGTAAGAATATAAGAAAAGCATATGTGGCAATATTACAAAAACACCTCGATATAATATAAAACATTTGACTCTAAAATTATGTAAAATCAAGATATAGGACAAAAATGATGCTATTGGGATGAGAAAAAACTTGTACTAAGTAACCTAGCTGTAATTTTACCAAACAGGTATGTAAGTAATATTCAGGTTTTATCCAATGTTCTTTAACTTGATCCATGGAAACCAATAAGTTCAGCTGTTTCAATAGAATTCTGCATCAGCTGATGGTGGGTGAGTCATGGTTGAAATATCTTAACACATAATGTTTCATCTTTTATTAAAAATTCAAGATCAGGAAGAATAAAGGATTTTATCTAGTGGTTTAAAAAAAAGGTTGGGATACATCTTCCAGGAACCTTTTATCTATGATTATTTATTTATATATTAACAGAACTGTAACTTACTTATTACTTTTACTTAAGACAGACAAAGAATTGATTTTTCAACCCCTCCTTACAAATGAAATGAAATTAAATACATTAAAAGATGAGCATCTTAGAGAAACTTTTACAGTTTTTGCATGCATTTTCATACTAGTGATTCTGTAGCAGTTCCAAATAAAACCTTAAAAGGTGTCATAAGCCTATTTAACACCTATATAGCTAACATATTTAACTATACATGTTGCCATATACTACTTATAAAAAGACCTTGTTTCCTGAACCTATAACTGAATAAATTCACCAATTATCATAATGTTACCAATCTTTTATTTAGATTATTCCTTCAGAAGCAATATTAGAATGTCAAAATGCCCGGTCAATAACAATTTATGAGCTTACCCTTTTTGTTGTAATTTATAATCTTATAAAAGAGATTTTGTAATGTGTTGGTTAATGTTTGAAGAGACTCCACTGAATTTAACATTAAGTTCAAGATAGGAAAGTCCAAGATTGGATTTTCAGATTTGACCTCTGAATAGAGAGGTCAAGATCAAGTACTCCAGAATATCTTTGTATGTCCAAATAGTTTCAAAATTTAATCTGCCAGATCATAAAACCCATGAAAAATTAAATAGAATATGTTCTATTGATTGAGCCAATTTTATTTCATACGCACTTTAAAAAGATGATATAACTGTCCAAAAGAAAATGTTTGATAATTGGTCTACTGAATCTCTTTCAAGTTCAAATCAAGACGAAACTTCATAACTTAAATTGGCACTTTGATGTTGAAACATCAATCAATGGAATCTAGGTAAATTTTACTTAAATTTTAAAGGGGCAGATTGTAAAAAATAGAGGTGCAAAATGCATCAAGAAATTCAACTAAAGTTTAACCACTAAATCAACAAGCCATTAACATGACAAAATGTCACCACCTAGTTGCTCACAATATTATTGTAGATGATTTTGAAAAAAAGGTCAATTTGAAGAAAGTTGAAAAATAGACCTTTTTTGACCCTGAAAAGGTCATTGAAGGTAGAATCTCAAATCTAAAGTCAGATTTGAACTTCTGAGAACTTGTTGATGATTTTGAAAAAATGGTCAATTTGTAGCAAGTTGAAAATACCTTTTGACCTTGAGAAGGTCATTGAAGGTCAAATATTTTTTTGGCCATGACAATATCATTGAAGATCAAATCTATGGGTATGACAAAATATATTCTGAGGTATGACAATGGTAGAATTCTCCCACTTTTTGGTATGAGAATGGTTGTGGGAGATATTTTATCTTACACTTTTGAAATGGCATAGGCCAGTAGTTACACATCTTCTAGATTTGAGGTTGTTTTTGATGATTTCCCAGACATCTGGTATGGCATTTGGACATTTGGTATGGCATTGGGCCCCTTTTTGACATTTGGTATGGCTTTTGGGTGTTATTTACATTTAAATCTGATTGATTGGTATGGGAACATACTGACATCTGAGGGTTCAGCCTAAGACCCCAGCCAAAGTTTGTATACAGGAAACTCCATGGTCATCCTTCAAGATTGGGCTTCACTGCAAATGCAGCTATATGGAGGGAATTGAAAAGGCGGTCTATTTTGTAAACAAAAATCACAAACCATTTACCATTGCAAAGTTCTATATTAGTATTTGGCAACCAATCAAATGCTATTGTGTGACATTACAGGAACAACATTCAAATTCCATGATGCTTTAAATAATTTTTTGAAATGGATGGAGGATTGGATCCCAGAATGCAATCTCGATATAATGAAAGCAGGCCAAATGTCCCACAATTTGCATATTCGTTACATATTTGCGGAAGAAATTGAAGTCACGCCAGCAATTATCAGTTAAAATATGCATTTTAAGGTCAGGGTGCATGATGGGAAATTTTCTGCATTCCTCAATTGAGTCACATGTTATTTTTCAAACAAGAATCACTCCTTCCCTTCATTGTCTATATCTTCCAGTTTTGCACAAAGAGTGCACTTATGTGCCTAGAAAAGACTTGTGAGAAGAATGTTTTGATAAAGTGAATAAAAAACAAGAAAATTCAGTGAAAAAAATCAGAAAATTTTCAGAAATCTTTTTCACTGAATTTTCTCATTTTTCATACATTTTACAAAACAAACCTTCTCACAAGGCTTTTCTAGGCACAGAAGTGCACTCTTTGTGCAAACTTGGAAGATGTAGACAATGTGGGGAAGGAGTTATTCATGTTTGAAAAATAACATGTGACTCAATTGAGGAATGCAGAAAATTTCCCAACATGCACCCTGTCCTTAACTGATAATTGTCAAGCAAAAAATTGAGGTGTCTGATATTTTGACCAAGGTGTTCAGTTTTGGTCACTCATGTTAGGTGTTCCCAAGTTGACAGGCCTGTGAAAGTGTCATAATGTTGTTATAATGGTATGACATGAAACCATAATCAGTAGATCTAATCCAAAAGATTCAAGCTAATATCTTGATCACTTGTGTAATAAGACCAGAACTTGTGATTCAAAATTTGAAGTGAATATCATGACATCCTTCAAGATCGAATTCATTGCTCGAAAATATTGAGTTGCATCCCTGGAATCCAATCCTCCTTGGGATACAGGTTTGGATTCCATGATTGATCTACCATGTCTCAAAATCTTGAATTGCAATCTTCATCTGTATTCATCAGCTGTGAATGAATGAAAAAGTAAAGAAATCATAACAAACCCTGAAATGAGAGTACTCAATGGGAAACATTATACACCGTTTTCGAAATTTCCTTCTGTGTTTTACCGTCATATAATATATTGATGAGAAATGAGTAAAATAGGTGTATTTTAAGATAAATAAGAATATTTCAAAAAGTATACAACAACATAAGAGACAACCTCGAAATAGTTCGTAACCGAGAGTAGCAGGATGCTTTGGGTGCACATTTGCTTATTCCAATATGGCCGTCACTCGTAAAATTAAATTTGAAACAACATATACCGTAAAATCTCTTGTTCCTTATCTTCCTCTTCTTTCTGGCGTTGAATTACTCCCTCTATGATTGCCCTCTCCTCCTCAGATAAATGGCTCAGGTCCGGCATTGGGGGTAAAGATGGTCGACGGGTGCTCATTCTCAAATCTATGATCGAATCGATAGATTCTTGGCCGAGAAGAAGTGATTTTCACACGCCTATATCCACTTTATAGGCATTTTAGGTTGATTACGGCATGCTGTAAACTCTTCGCCAATCCATCATGAGTTAGTTTGGTATATCCATGAAATCCCCTGGCCTTACGGGGTCTAGATTTGCCGTGAGAACTGTGCCTCCGGTAGGGTAAGGTCTTTTCCTAATTAATTATGCACCCATATCCAGATAGCTCTCTCTCAGTTAGCCAATCAACGTGTTATCTCTGAATGACGTCATATCTAATATTCCCGGGAAAATATTCAATCGGGCATGGCTAAGACAAAACATATTGATCAATGAATATTTCACCATGATCTAACTTATTTTAATTTAAAATTAGGTGTCTTTGGTACAAGAAATTTGATCTCGTGTAACGTACTATCAGTCCCATACACAAGTGACAGTTGCCTATTCGGGAGCCTATCATGGTCACGGATTTTAGGCCGTGTCACGAATGCCGGGGGGGGGGGGGGTAGAAAGCCCGATGTTCTGCCTGGCTAGTTTCAACTTTCTAACGTGAGCGCCTTGAGCGGCCCTCCTAATGCTAAGGAAAAGTGAAGAATGTCCCCAGATTGAATGTATCCTCCCCGCAAGCGCGTATGTTTTTCAAGTCATCACTAACCTGAATGATTTGGGCCCCGGCCTTGTTGGTTCAGAACCGCCCCTGCTACTCATGAACACTAATTATCCGAGAAGATGTAATGTAAAAGTTTACAACTTTTTTTGGATTGCCAGCTTAATAGTGGCCAACTTGTTGAAAACTTTAGATATTTTGAACTTTCAGACGACGGGGGAAATCGGAGAACCCCCCCCCCCTCCATCATGTCCAGCGGAAAATAATTGACAAGTTCACTTACTGGTTGGCTGCAAACCTTAAAAATTGACACTTTTGGGTCTCACCTTTTGAAAGAAAAGTGGCATTTTTCTCCACGCAAACAAGGAAAGAATTTTGGATAAAGGAATAAGGAAAACGACCGGACTTCCCCGGACCTTCAAGAAAATCTCGCACGGGCCTTTTAAATTTTCGCCAAAATTCATTACATTTTTGATTCATCATCAGTGATTGAGAATTCTAGAATATTCGTTATTGTGCACTCGTTCCCTGATCCTCGATGATTCAAATATCGAAACCCATCAATCTACAGAAATAAAATGCGGCGATTCCTTCATGGCGGCAATAAAGTACTGCCATCTTTCAGTGTCATCACTGGCTGGCATGGACGACGGTGGAATTATTTGAAAACAATATTTGGTCCGAAGATGGACTTTCTTAGGAGACAATTTAATGAAAAAACAAGAAAATACACATATGCCTTCATATTTAGGGCATGTAAAGCAACTTTTTCAAAAATGTTTCTGGCATAACCAGAACGCTTCTAGGTTGTGAGATCTATTTAAATAAAAAGGCGCACAGCGTTTTGCATGCTAGAGTAATTCAAGCAGTGGAAGTCTACATGGCCTGTTAAAAATATTCACTTGTATCTCTTCAAGGAAAACTAACGATTTTAATATTTAATTGTTCTTTTTAGTCAATAAAAAATATATGAAACATGGATATCTCCTTTTACTAGATACAGTAGATAGAATGGACATGGCAGTTTAAATTATTCCCCCTTTTCATTTGATATTACCTCCTTTCTTTTGCCTATATACTTGTTTTTTCACAGCAGTAATTTCTGCTTTATCAAAATCGTTTGAAAGATCTTAGAACGAACTTTTTTCAAGTTTTTCCCAGTTTTAAAAATACGCTTGTATACAGGAGAAAATATCAATATTGCCATTTATTTGTGAAAGAGCTATTTGTTTAAAATTTCATCTAGCAAATGAATTCATTGAGACCCTGGGGAAGTTATTACTATACAGAGCAGTGGCAAAGTTGACGGTGATGATGGAGGGAAGAACAAATGCATGTAAACCATTTATGGTGGAGTTTCTGGAGAGGTTCTGCAGTAGCATTTTTAGGATATCAGCATTCTGATATATACAATGCTGTTAAAAAACGCAACAAATTGTTATCTCTGAAAAGCATCATAAAACCAGCGATAACGGCATTGATTCCATTCGTACCATAAAGCTGTAAAAGACCGACCATATCATGTAAAAGACCGAACATATTTGTAGCCTTAGAATATTAATAATTTGATTTTGAATGTCAATCGTTGGACTAGGCAACGTTTTTTACCGATTTTGTACCTTGCAACGAATGGTAAACAAACAAATTGGTCATGACCGTCTCCTCTCGATTAATTGCCCTGCCTTAGGTCCTAACCTATCATTAACCAACCTATCGTTTCTACGGGTATCTATCCTAATTTTTACTGAAATTTAACAATTTCGAAACAAAAATGATTTGTTATCGTCATAGCCTACTGAATACTGAACACGATATAATGTTACATGCGTTCTCTTATCGGGATTAAAAGTGACTTACCATTTCAGTACACCATTAGAAAGCTTTTTTTGTCATATCAAATGTAGTTTTTACCAGTTGACGTTCAACAACTGAGAAATCAAACATAACGTTACGACGTCAACATCGACGATGTTTGTGTGTTTTTGTTATTGCGTTTCATATGAATGAAGAATGAACTTAATGCAATGTTACGTGCGTTTTTTCCAAAGTGACTAACCAGGATGAAATTGGTCTTCTAACAACTGAAACATCACTTAAAAATATGACATTACACACCACGACGATGTAACGTTTTCATCGTGATTTGAAATGATAATTATACGTTTTTAAATCACGACCTAGTAAAGGTACTATAGTCATTGGATTCCCAGTTTTAGTTTTACTTCTAATTTTGCATTTTTTCATCTTTATGTAAGACCGTCAGCCGACCACCGACCACATGTACCCAACTGTGGAGAGTGACAGGTCGGTGGTCGGCGGTCGGTGTTTTACGAAAACCCAAGAATACATCCTATACCCCTCCAAATTGCCACCACTTCTTTGCACATAAAGATGCGCTCATCTCGGCCATGTCATGCATGAGTCAGCTGTGGGTTAAGGCGGAGAAAAGCAGCCCATTGGCTATTCTTTCTCGAAGTTTTGCAATATCTGGTGGAGGAATGGTGAGGACAAATGCTTCTGAGATTGCTCCAAAAGTCACAACAATTTAAGTCAAGAGAACTTCCATTGGGACTTAGCCCTTGCACTGGTTTTTGCAATCTCTGAAACTTGGTCCAGAGCCGATTTTGACCCACTGTGCAAATGAAAGGATTTCTCACCCAACCATGATCACATGTGAATGAATGACATATCATTGCAATGAGGAGGGACGCGGCTGTATGGTACATTGAATGAAATTGATGTAGTCATCACTAGTTTTGTGATTTTATGAGATAACTGCTTGTTGCGTTTTTTTTATACCTGTATACTGAAATTATGAAAATGGAGTAGTATGGAACCTATCCCAGTCATGAGGTAGGTGAGGTAACTGCTTCACCAAAAGTTTACAGAACTTAGTCACGGGGTGCCAACTACGAACCGTTAATTTTAATTTTAGACCTACGGCAGGTGTTTGAAAATCAAGGATTGTGAGTCTGCACCGTTTTTATCGCACTTTGAAAAATAGAGATTATCCTATATGAGGTTCAGGATATTGGGATTATCCCGAGGCGAATATAATATATTTGCCCGAGGGCCGCAGGTCCCGAGGGGAAATATATTATATTGGCCAAGGGATAATCCCAATATCCTGAACCGACTATAGGATAATATGTTTATCCCATACCAATCTTGGTCATCTGGTTCACATTGTTCAATCGTGGAAATATTTTAGAATATTCATGTCCAGTTTATTTTTCTTGGCCGTGGGCGGATTTTCCTGTTCTCTCAAATATTCCCACAATTATTTTCTCGAATTTTTGATTGATTAAGTGGATGCTCCTTCCCTTTTTTAAACCATCAAACAGATCCCGATTGTCTGTGTTTTCTCCATTGTCGTTTACACTCATTACGTGAACGTTACAAATTATGAACAAATATGCGAGCGGCGATTATGACGTAGCGGGCAGATATACTATATCTGCCCGCTCGGAGCGGGACGTAAAGCTATATCTGCCCGCTGATGAAAATATAAGTTTTTACAAACCGGCTTTATGTACATGTAACATGTCCAAGTATGGGATAAAGTGCTATATTGTCGTCGTCTTGTGCTGTTGGGCGGGCGTACGGGCGTACGGGCGTGCGGGCGTGCGGGCGGGCGGGACATAAACCAAATCTTGTCATCAAATTTCCAGGATAATTGCTTACCTGTTCAACTTGAAATTTTTACAGATGCAAGAGCAGACTAGTACCAAGATCTGATTAGGTTAAGGGCATGCTGGGTAAACTACGTGGCGGCCATTTTGAATTTTTCAACAAAGGACGATTCTCGGTTTGGAGAACAGTCTCCTGGGCTAATATTTTTTTTCATGAAAAATATAGAAATATTACCCAAATTAAACTATGAATATTCAAAAGAGGACATTTAGATCTACAAGATGTAAAAATAACAAATTGGTCTGAAGCAGGGATAACGCTCAATTTGACCGATTCAATAAATTACAAGTCTCGATTTGGGGAAAGAAGTTCATCAGTGTACTGCGCGAATATTTTTTTGCGAAAAATTTAGAAATATTACCCAAATTAAATTATGACTATTCAAAAGAAGACATTCAAATCTATATTATGTAAAAAAATCAAATTTGTCCGAAGCAGGGATAATACTCATTTAGATTGATGAACTTCGTTCTCCAAACCGAGAATCGTCCTTTTGTCATCAAAATTCCAGGAAAACCACTTATCCGTTCGACTTGAAATTTTTACAGATGCAAGAGCAGACTATTGCCAAGATCTGATTAGGTTTTGGGTATGCTGGCTGAATTACATGGTGGCCATTTTGAATTTTTCAATTTGGCGGCCATTTTGAATTTTTCAACTTGCTCCAAATTGACCAAATTTTTTTTTTAAAAACATCTACAAGTTCTCAAAAGTTCAAATTTGACCTTAGATTTCAGATTTGACCTTTCATTCACCTTCAGTGACTTTGAAAAGGTCAAAAAAATTGATTTTCTAAATTGATATTTTGGATTTAAATTTAGGTCAGCTTAATTACAAAACACCTACTGAGGTCTGAAAAAGTGAAATTTTCAAGGTCGAAGGTCAAGGTCATTAAACTAGGTCACAAATGATGTTATCCAAGTTTCTCAAAGTTTGAGACAACAAATCAATTCTTGTCATCAAAATTCCAAGAAAACCG